AAGCATTAATAGAAACATCCAATAGAATCCATCCAGATCCTTCCAGATTTCATGGGGCAGCCTCTCATGATCACATGTGCCAAGCGGATAAGACTGCCTGGAAAGACTACAGACATTTTTGTCCCATATGTGTGCATCCAGAAGGCACAATTTCATGCTTCTCATTACCTCACTATATGCCAGAGATTCACATGACATGGATTTGAACGGCTACTGCAGAGGAGATGGAAGTGTCTTCGCCAGAAGGACCAGGCCTGCCTTTACAAGACAAGCTGGAGGATTTACAAATAAACTTAATTACCCTGTCAAAAGTTTTTTTTTGCCTCCAGTTCTGTCCATAACAATTGCATGTCTCTTCCCTCTCCTGGCTTTTTCCTATAACAGTAGATATTAAATTCAGTTTTTCTTATGGCCATAAAAACTACTTTCTTTGAAATTATTTCTTCCGGTCCTGCTAAAAATAGACCTCATAATACAAGAAGATTCCACTCTCTCTGTAATTACACCTTGGCTTTCTAACTGTCCTTTCCAGTTTATCTTATCAGTTTTTCATAGATCCAGCCTTGATTGAATTACAACAATAGAGGGGAGGCTTATTTTTCTGTGTTACACCTCCCCATTCTAATTTGCTTGCTTTTAATGTAATTAGGTATTTATCCTTGAGGCCAGTGATCTACCTTAAAAATGGAATATCTTATTTTTTACATCCTTTAGATGTCTTCATTGTAGGTGCAGCTCTTGTGAACATCTCCCTTCGTTTTTCATGGAGTCACTCTGTTCTTCCATTCACGGACTCAAGTGTGTTCTGTTCTTCAGCTCTGCAAACAAATGATAAGCTGCAGTATCTGGTTGTTTTAGCTTGAGAATCAGATAGATTGCATCTATCTTATTTTTCCCTTAAATATCTGGTTCCATCCAGCAATACTGGAAATCCTGCTAATTCTAGCTCAGTCACAGAGTTCACTGGGGGCACCTCCTGAATGTTAATATTTTGCAGGATGGATCCAAGTGCATGCCAGGAAATTTAGGTTTGTGTTATTAAAGTGGATTAAAGTGCTCTGTTGCCCTAGCAGAAGCAATCCACTTAAAAAACAAACAAACAATTATTTGCAGTTAGGAAAGTGATGGAGAAATGCATTGGAAAGTGTGGAATGACTGACTGACTGAATAACACAAGGTATGAACACCCTGCAAGCAAATCAGGATAAATGTAGGGTGAATGCTCATTGTAATATAAACTCCTTATATGCAAATCAGAACAAATGCTCGTAAAGGCAGGGCATCATCTTACCTCTGCATAAGCTTTGTGCAATCAAATCAGGATGGATGCTCAAGAAATAGATTGTCCGAACTGCAGGAGAATGGGTGCACAGTGGTACCTTGGTTTACGAACTTAATCCGTTCCGAAAGTCCATTCTTAAACCAAAGCGTTCTTAAACCAAGGCATGCTTTTCCATAGCAGCAGGGGACTCAATTTACAAATGGAACACACTCAACAGGAAGTGAAACATGTTCTTATTCCAAGGCAAAGTTCACAAACCAAAACACCTATTTCCAGGTTTGAAGCATTCTTAATCTAAGTTGTTCATAAACTAAGCTGTTCTTAAACCAAGGTACCACTGTATTAAAGAAAAAATAACTCTTCCCCAAGCTGGCATCAGCACCCAACATCCTTAAATGCTCCAGGACTCTGGCAATTTCCACCACTGGTGCTGGCTCAGGCTCAGGGACGCGGACTTATAAAAAATATTGGGGGGCCCCGGGAAAGCTCATGAATAATAAATAAGCTCATGAATATGCAAATAAAGTGGCGCCGCCTCCTCGTGAGCGAATAGGGGAGAGCGTGCTGCGCCTATTAATCAGCTCCAAAGGAAATTGGGTGGAGCTTTTGCTCGGGAGGGAGGGCAGGAGGCATGCAGCCCGCCCCTCCCTGTGCATTTTGGGCTGGGGGAGGGGCGGCGATGGCGCTCTGCTGGAGGGGCGCCGGAGATTATTGGGGGGGCGGAGCCCCCCCAAACGAATTTTTGAGGGGGCTCGGGCCCCCTCAAGCCCCATGGAGTCTGCGCCTATGCTCAGGCTCCTTGTGTTGGGAAGCTGGATTTGGAAGCTGCCTCCCATTTCAATTTCCACAGTAGCTCTGGGCAACAAGTCAGAGCAGAGGAAGAAATTAAAGTGACAGGCAGTTCCGGGTTTTCTGGTGCAGATCATACTGCTGCCGTCTACTGCTGCCACCACCTAATAAGCCTACTGGGAGGGGCCCATTGATGTAGGAGGGACCCCAGGAGAGAATACTTTGCCAAAGTTGTCCTTCAAACCTGCACTTGGTCTTAACTCTTTCTCTCCCTGTCTCACAAGGTTGTCAAGCTACAAGTTGCTCTGAGGTTTGAATTCCTCAGAGTAAAAGCAGGCTGTAAATATAAAATATTCCATTGTTAGAATTAGTAATTGTCAACCTTTTCAGATCTGGGACCAGCCTTTAGTCCAAACATGCACTGAGGATGCCTCTGCTGTTGCAGCTTCTTAGATCAGTCCTGGGTCCCGATCCACCAGCTGAAGATCATATGTCTGCTTATTTTATCCCATTTCTCTATTAGTCACTTTTCAGGTCCAGTCCCTCACAAAATGATCCATAGAGAGAAATAGAACAGCAGAAGCTCAGGGACACTCTGAGGCACTGAGCAGATTTAGTCAAATAGATGCATAACAGAAGAAGAAGAAGAAGAAGAAGAAGAAGAAGAAGAAGAAGAAGAAGAAGAAGAAGAAAAGAGTTTGGATTTGATATCCCGCCTTTCACTCCCTTTAAGGAGTCTCAAAGCGGCTAACATTCTCCTTTCCCTTCCTCCCCCACAACAAACACTCTGTGAGGTGAGTGGGGCTGAGAGACTTCAAAGAAGTGTGACTGGCCCAAGGTCACCCAGCAGCTGCATGTGGAGGAGCGGAGACGCGAACCCGGTTCCCCAGATTACGAGACTACCGCTCTTAACCACTACACCACACTGGCTCTCAGATACAGTGGTACCTCGGGTTAAGAACTTAATTCGTTCTGGAGGTCCGTTCTTAACCTGAGGTACCACTTTAGCTAATGGGGCTCCCACTGCTGCCGCATGATTTCTGTTCTCATCCTGAAACAAAGTTCTTAACATGAGGTACTATTTCTGGGTTAGCAGAGTCTGTAACCTGAAGTGTCTGTAACCCGAGGTACCACTGTACTGGATTTGATGACCAAAATTTTCTTAAGCAAAGGCAATATTAAAAATGATAAGTTTTAAGACCTTTTTAAATGCCAGAGCTGAAGGAGCCAAATGAATTTTAACTGGAAATGAGTTCTACAACCCTGTGACTACCACAAAAAAGGTCCTGTATTGTGGGCTCACCAAGCTAATCAATTTCACGTTAGAACATGTAAGCTGGACCTCAGATGCAGATCTTAGACCATCAGACAGGGTAATATGGGTGCAAACAGTTTTATAGATAGTCCTGTCCCAAAATGTTTAGGGTCTGAGAGGTTAGGACCAGCACTTTTAAATGGTCTGGTAGTCAAGGCAAGTGGTGCAAAAGTGGTGTCACATGTTTATGTATGTCATCAACATACTGATGGCAGTGCAACGCAAAGCTTCGAACGACATCCCCTCCCCAAACATGGATGAGAAAATGCAATGGAAGCAGCAGCATTGTATCTATAATAGTGTATTTGAGGGAATGTCTGCACAAATTCTGTTAGAAAGTTTACCCTATTCCAGACAAAGAAATGTCATGTAGATATACGGATGAACATCTTCCTTAAAAAGAGCAGACAGTTTGAAGTATGTAAAGCAGAGGTTATCTACCTTTCTTTTAGAGGACTAAAACAAATGATATAACATTTAAAGTTAGGGGAGGGGCAGTCCAGCAGGAGCAGACCCTGATGTTGTCTGTGGCTGGCTGCCCCCCCCCCACAGAGCATATGGTGTCTGTGGACCCTGTGGGGGAGGAGGGGACAGGAGCAGCCCTCCTGGGTGGAGCAGGTCAGATGATGTCTGAGTTGTAGACCCACAAGATCTGGAGGGCCAAGAGTTGGCTATCCCTGATTCAGTCCCCTAATAAACAGCTGACAGCACCTGCAGGTTTTCACTTCCTTTTTCTGTGACCTTCCAAAACCAAATCATGCACAACCCAACTGGTTCTGTGTGGGATTTTTTTACCATTAAGAACAGGATGTGTAAGATGAGAACGCTTCAGCAGAATCACAAAACTGATCTGCAAATAGTGCAACAACCCCAGCTAGCCTCAAACTGGCGTTGCCAGCGCGGCATATTGAGAAATTGATTTTTATTCCAAACCATTTTATTACACACGTTTCCGAGAAAATGCATTGCGACATAATTAGCCGTTGTGGACTGGGAGGAAATGGACTCTAGTTCTGGAAATCGTATCCCACAGGACATGTGTGAGCCTTTAAGGTGAAACCAGACTCTGCTGTATTTATTAGATATGCTCTTACGTGAAAAAAAGAGAGGAACGCCCCGACACGTGTCTGCCTCCTTCACAAGACGGCCATCCACCCGCTCCCACCCCCGCGTAACGCTCCGCCGCCCTCTCCAACGATCTGAAGCATCTCAAGCCAATCAGAACGGGAAGAGCTTGCCAACCAATAGCGTACCAGTCGGAGAAGCTTCAGCCGGCCGCTGTGGTAAACAATAACGAGAGGGAGCTCGTGCCTGAGCGATAGTCCTGGTGCGCCAATCAGTCGGAGAGTAGCCACGCATACCGGTCCAATAGTGGGAGGGGAGGCGGGAAGAGGGGGAGAGGCGCGCGCCAAAACTAGGCAGCGGCGGCGACGCGCGCGTTCTCTCTTCCTCTCGAGGGGAACATCAACCGCTGGGAGGGGGCGTGGCCTGCGAGGGGCGGGTGTGCGAGCCAGGCGGGGCCCACGCGCGGAGGCGGGACCGGACCGGAGGAAAGGCGGGGCCGGCTGGAGCAGGAGCTGCTGCTGTCGCAGTAAGAGCCGAGCTGCGGAGGGGGCAGCAGTAAGTGCAGTCCAAGGCTGGCCAGCAGCGCTGTTTGGATCTCCAGGAAAGATGCGAACTGGCAGCCGCTTCGGCAAGGCTGTAATTGCGTCTGATGAGCCTGGTGCAGTTAGGAGGAGGGAGGTACAGAACCTGTAATTCTTGGATGGGAAGCGCGAGAGAGGCCCGCTGCCTCTGGGGAGCTCGCCTGGCAGCAGCCTTATTTAGTGGGCACTTAGACTCATTGGCAGCGAGAAGCGAGCAAAGGCAGAAGCAGCCTTTTCTCTCCGCTTTCCCAACATCTGTGCCCAGACAATAGCAAGACCAGAAGGGAGGCAGCGATTTCAGAGACTTCAGTGCCTGAAGGACCGAGAGAGAGTCTGGGGCTGGGAGCTCAGGCAACCGACTGTCCGCCCAGCCCAATAATGAAATGCACAATTTCCCTCCCACCCTCTAGCTTTCTCAAACCGAAGTGTGGATCTCCGATTAGAGCTGTGGATCTCTAGTGTATTCTCTCGAGGCTTTTTTTTTAAAGAGACAGTTGCTTCCATCCAATGAACAAGGAAGAAAAAGTTGTGAATCGTTTCTTCTCTGGGGAGGAGGAGAAGGAAGGAGGAGCCACGAAAGTCGGGATGCAGTTTGCCAGATGGTCATAAAAAGAGAAGAAAGCAAGCAAACAGCTACCCGACGACGTTTATTTTAAAAAAGAAATTACTCTGCATTAGGTGCATTTGCTTGCAAGCTACGAAGGAGATTCCCACGAAGTCTTACCTAGAGACGAGCAAGAGGGATATTAGCGATACAGTAGTTTGATTCCCCCCTTTTTCTTTTATTCCCTCCGCCCCATCCAAACCCCTCCTCTGGCCTTGTAGATCCTCCCCTTTTCTTTTTTTCTTTTTGGAGGGAGGAGGAGGAGATGAACGTTCGGCTTTTCCCTAAACAGCCGGCCGATTATTGCCAGAAGAACCCGATCTGGGAAGCCTCGAGGATGCGGCTTGCAACAGACGAAAGCTGATGGTGAGTCCGTCCGGGAAAAGAGCGAGCGAGAGAGGCCGGGCTGAAGTGGATGGAGAGAGGAGAAGGACGGAGGGGGGCTTGCAGACAACGCCGCGCTTGGGACCAGCCGATCGCGCCCCCCGTGCGCAACAGCTCCCTTGTGCAGAGCGCGCCAAGCTCCCGCTCCTTTCCCTGCAGAAATGCTGCATCATGAACCCATCACCCATCCGGATCTGCCCCTGAACCAGACAGAGAACAGCACCCCTGGTGCTTAATAGCAGCAGCAGTAAGCAAGGAGGGAGCAAGGCGTGGACGAAGTAAAGGGAAAGAAAAAGAAAGATCCGCCAGGTACCCCTCCCTTTCTGTCTGGCCAGGGCTGCCTCCATCTGCTGTCTCAGGACCCCCAAGGAGGCAGCGATGCCTCGGCCGTAGCCTTCGTGCCAGAAGGGGGAACTCCTCTTACAAGCGTGTGCGCGAAGAGGCGGCAGGAGGGCAGGCAGGAAGAGGAGGCTGCTTATCTCTCCCTGCGTGTCTCTCCGCTGAGCATCTCGTCAAGCAACTCCTCAACTTCTTGCCCGGCTGGAAGAGCAACCCGGAGCAGCTGCTGCAACTTCTCCCAGGGACAAGGGTTGCAAAGCAGAGTGGGACGGTGGCAAAGAAGCGCGCCCGGGTGGGTCCCTCTCTGTCTCTGTTCCTGAGGTGTCTAGTCTAGACTGAGACACGTGTCCTTTCTCGAAGAAAGCCAATTTTTAACTCTAGCTCGGGAGAAGCGCGCGTTTTCACACTCCTGCACCACCACCCTTTATTATAATTATTATTTTTACAAGCGGGATTTTTATTTTTATTTTTTAAGTCTCTGGATGGATCCGCTCAACGGAGCGGGGCGCGCATTTTTATTAAGCATATAGCTCTCTCCTCTCCTCTGAGACAGCTGATCCCAACCACCCGCCCTTTGATCCCGCCCGGCAGGTTGCTCGGGTCGCCTGTCTGACGCCCCGCTGGGGTTGCTGCTGCTGCTGCCGCCGCCCTCGCAGCCTCCTCGCGCCGGGTCCGGTAGCTTCGATCCGGGGTGGCTTCGCCGCCGCTGGTGCCGGGCCTTGCGGAGCGCCCATGCTGCTGCTGCGGAAGCTGCCGGGCATGCCGGGCTGGCCGCCGTCGGCGTTGGGTCTGCGGCTGCCGCAGAAGTTCCTCTTCCTGCTCTTCCTCTCGGGCCTGCTCACGCTCTGCTTCGGGGCCCTCTTCCTGCTGCCGGACTCTTCCCGCTTCAAGCGCCTCTTCTTGCCCCGCCGAGGGGGCGCCGGTGACGCGGGCGGGGACTTGGACGGGCTTCGCAGCCTCACGTCGCCGCCGCCACCGCCGCCCGGGGCCGACCCTGGCCGCCGCCATGCCGCCCCCAGCCCGCCCAACGCCGCCGCCGCCCTGCCTCCGCCTCGTCGCCTCAGGGACCCCAAACTCCCCCCCGCGCAGGCGGCGGCGGTGATGGAAGCCGCCGCCGCCACTTCCTCCCGCCGAGAGCGCCTCAGCCCGCTCCACCGCCAGGGGCCGCCCGGGGAGAAGAAGGCGGCGGGAAGCGGCACCGGCAGCGCGGCCCCGCTCCGGCAGACGAGAGCCCCGTTCCGCTTCGACTACGAGGTCTTCCGCCGCAGCCTCCGCCACCCGGTGCTGGGAAGGAGGAAAGGCGGCACCGAGGACCCCGAGAACCGAGTCCGGCGCCTGAAGCTCAAGGAGGTGAGTGAGGAGGCGCTTCTCCATCTCCCCCTCTGCACACACAAACACACGCTTTCTCTTGGCATCTTTTTCCTCCCATGGCTTTCCTCAGGTTTTGCCGCCTTCTGAATTAAATTTCTGTTCACTACTTCATTAATTAAGATGCTATCAATGGGAACGGTTCTTTTAGCAGAGTGCCTGAGAAATGACAGGTCCCTGCCCCAAAGAGCCTAAGTGCTCTAAATCAGGTATCTTCAACCTTTTCATGGGGACCCATTTCTTAATCTTTCCCCATCTATTATCTTGGTGGTACTGCTCCCCTTGTGACCCCCCTTGGACCTGGCAGTGACCCACCAGTTGAAGACCAGTGCTGTAAAATGTGTGATAGATGAGGGTAGTCAACATGGTGCTGTAAAATTACAACTCCCATTGTCCCTGACCATTGGTCATGCTGGCTGAGGCTGATGGGAATTGAAGTCCTCCACACCTTGAGAGCACCATGTTGGCTACCCTTGCCATAGACAGGGATGAAACAATTCCTTTGGTGTGGAAGCTCTGCTTTTGAATCCTGTATAGTTGATGTCAGAAATGGCTTTCTGAGTATGTTCAGAGGTATGGTTTTCCATCAGGGCTGCACCTTTTGCACACTGGAAATAGGTTGCAGGGCTGAACCCTGGCTCAAATACATTCCACCCCTTTGGTTACCTCTCCACAGCTCCCCTCATATCTTTTGAGTGCATTCAGAATTAATCTGGAATTGTTACTACTGTATTAAGTTGCTCTGTCTTCACAAGTATTTACATGGATTAGAGTTCCTCACTTTGCCTCATAAGCATGTGTTGAAAGGGTGGGAACAACAGACTGGCTTGAGACTGCAGTCTTAAATCCACTTATCTGGGGAGTAAGTAAGCCCCATTAAAACTTGGAGGGATGTGTGTAAAGCATATTGTGCATATAACTTGGAACAACTTCAGATGTGACTTTAACAGGTAATGCGCTGCAGACCTGTGTTGTGTCTGTTGGTCTGCTAATGCCATCATCTTTGAAGTGGGGACACACATTGGTTTTTCAACCATGAAGATGTATGCTGAAAAGCTGGGGATCTCTGAAGCTCTGTGCAGTGTGTTTCTGTGATGTACGTGATTTAAAACATGTTGAAGACTACAGGTTCTAGAGAGTGTGTGCAACATGGGGTTGTAATGCATAGCTGTTAAAATTGTGAAGTGTCTTGCAAAAGGCATGTTGAGTGATAAGTAAGCATCTGCATCATATCTTGAGTATTGTGCTTTTCTCATCATCATCATCCCCTGCCTTGGGTTATGCCTTTCACCCCATTGCCTCTTTAGGCTTCTGTTAACTGCCCATTAATATTCCTTTTGTCCACTCACCTTTTCCATGTTCCCAATTCCTTCCTTTCATTCAGCATTTCTTGACTGCCTTATTCCTCTCACACACTACCCTTCATTCCTCCCCCCTCATGTTTCCACTTAACCACTCTTTCTCTTTTTCTGACTTACCTTCCATTTTTGCTCTCAATGGCTTTTTCAATTACTCTTCCATGCCTTCTCAATTTGTCTCTTCTTAATGCTCCCTTTTAGCTGCTCCTATGCATGTTTACTCACAAGTAAGCCCCACCACTCTGGGATTTTCTCCCTGTAACCCTGCATAAGAGTTTAGCCCTGCAGTACCAGCCCTTATGCATGCTTAGAAGTAAGTGCCACAATATTTAATAAAGCTTACACCCCAGTAAGTGTGTTTAGGATACTGGACAGACTTAATTACTTTCTTCACTTCCCCTTATCTCCCCCTGCTCCCAGCATTCATTACCCCAGTGTTTTCCATTACACATTCTTTTTCATGATACAGTGTTATATATACATAATATTAAACACACAACCTCAAATTTTTGCAACCTCAAGTCAACCCTTTTTACAATAATATATTTTGTTTCTAGGAATTGACTACAGTAGTGTACATATTGTTTGTGTTGTATACATATGATAAAGAATGCAGATGTTGCATAATAATAAGTATATTGTTGAAGCTGAGTGATGTGTAAGCACTAGAAGTGTGGCATATAAAGAATAAATAAATATAATTCCCATATGTTACACAATGCAATGTGTATCATATGTGAGCATGATACATAAAAATGCACTCTCATATTTTGCTTCTTTTGTTTTCCTACCCTCATTTCAAAACTTCATGCACCATATTAATACACAATATGAACTAATCCCTTCTCACCTTTAGTTAGTGACCCCCCTCAACGTTGCTGCTCATTTTTGTATTTTTTCTTACAGTGTCACCTGTCAATTCTTTGTTATCTCATGCTGTCTTGTGTACAAATAACAGTTTTTCAGGTAATATAGTAGAGCTTACGGTGTACACATGTCCTTTTAATTCTGTTATTTGTTTCTGGTGAAAGAGGCTTTTGAAACTCAACAAAAGCCTGCTAAACCTATTTAACCAGAAATTAGCATGACAGAAGCAGTTAAAATAGAGATACTTGCCCAGTATATATATTATCAGACTTTTTGAAAAGTTATCTGGATACAGCTGTAGCTAGTCTGTTATATTGGTTTGGTCCTCCTTCAGTTCATGTTTCACCAGGATCCCTGTGTGTGTTTCACCAACATTCCCCTATTATTCTTACTTGTATTGCATTTTTTCTACTAATCATTCTGGCTTTTCAAATACCTTTCCTGTGGCTTTATCCATCCCTGCTTCTGCCACCCATCTACTTATACTTCCTTCTCTTCAATACCAGATTGAGATTCCTTTTCTGGAGCTAACTTAGCACTCAGCCCTTTGAAAGCACATGTCCCCTTCACCTCTCCTCTTTGCTTTCCCATAGAGCATATATGAAGGAATTCTAATAAGCTGGTAGCAGGACACAATAAGATCAAACTGAGTAAAGAGACTCTCTGGTTGGGTCTTCGGGGGAAAACACTGTAGAAATTGAAATGGCTCTTGGGAAATGGTGGAAGTTTGGTCAATTGAGATGCATGAAACCAAAACTTGATGAAGTGTTTGAAATAGATAGGGTGAAGAGGCCCAGAAGGTCATCCCAAGTCCAAAGTGAACCTTTCGCCTAACGATTAGATTACATCAGCCTCTCCAAGACCTGTTTCAACCTTTTCAGACCTTGGACTCATCATTAACCACAGCTTGCCACATGGGACCCATTCCTGTATTTCATTTTGTTTTTGACTGCACGTCTTTCTACCTTTACCCCTTTCTCCTCTTGCTTTCTCGTAACAAAAATAATGCTGCTGGTATGACTCACATTAGGTAGATCAGTGGACTTCCACTCCTCAGCTAGCGTGCAGAGGGCTGGGATGAACTGTTTGCACCTCTGCCAAAGGCAGGACACACAGCTGTAGTGCACATGTAGGAAAAGTCAAAAATGTCTTGCTAGCTCCTTTGAACTGGAGCGGGGGACACACCTGGCCCTGAACTTGACCATCGGTGAGAACCTGTATTTGTGGCAAAACCTATTTTCTCAAAAGGAAATTTCATTTTGGCACATGTCCACTCACCAAGGTGCATGCCATTTCTGGTCAAAGCAACCCTCGATTCCCAGTGTTATAGGCAACAGAACAGACATAGATAAAAGCCCATGGGAAGCACTTGTGTTTGACCCAGTGCGGCCTCTCTGCCTTTGTACAGTATGTTGGCACCCAGCATTTGATGAGACACAAGGGGAATAATAGACCAGATTCTACCATGTGTCTGTGTTGGATTCCGAACAATCTCGCTTGTCACGGTGGGTTTCACACGTGTAACTGAGGACAGAGATTTGGCCCAGTGCCAGCAGTGCATGCATAAAGGACTGGCTAGCAGCTTTGCAAAAGGGTGACCTAGTTAACCAACAAGCTATAGATTCAATGCAGCACTTGGGATCCTTTGGCTCCGCTGGCTTGGAGCAAACCCGAGGTTGGCAACAGATGCTAATTCATAAAGCACAGAGATGAAATGGTGCGAGCATTAATTCCTTGGATCAGTTCCTCCATCAAACATCTTTGAACAGGGAGGAAAGTCTAAATGTAGTAGAACAAAATCCAGGGTGACAAATCATGGTCGCAACACACCTTTTTATTTATTTTTAAAAAATATACAATATAAAATATTATTTCTGATTCTGAGCTTTTCGATCAAGTCTTGCAGAGAAAGCAGTGCACTAACAATAAAATTCTAATTTCTCTGCCAGGCAACCAGACAAAATGCACCCGGGGTGCTCGTTTTTCCTTACAGTCCCAGGCATAGTTGAGATTAGCTCTGCCTGCCTGTTGGACTGTTGTTAGCAGCAGGGAATTGAAAGAGGACTGCTGCCCCCCTCCCTGCAGCCTGGGTTTCTTTGACACTTGGGACTTAAGGCTTCTCATTTGTTTCTTGCTGCATTGCAAGCTTCTGAGGCCTAGAGCATGCTGGTACAAGAGTTTCTCTTAACCACAGTAGCATTGCTTTATACAAGGCAGCACATACAAACAGGTTGAATAAATGAGTAAAGCACCTCTAAGTTAGTGGCACTTGAATCATGAAACCAAGGCTACGTGTGAATTTTCCCTAAGCATGCACCTCTAGCAATCTCTAATGTACAATCGTGTCCAACATGATTATTTCTCCATAAATTAAGAGTAATCTATGCAAGGCTGCAAAAGTGCTTCACCTGATTCAGAAGAGCTGGCATCTCTGCATCTGTGATTACTTGGCACCTAACGTTGAAGGGCCTACATTGCTGTCTGTTAAGAGGTAGCTTTGAAAGCAGTGTTAATGAAGAAATGGATCCCCACCCCCACCCCCGTTCTTTCCAAGTAGCTCATTTTTATTCCCTTTCTCCCTTTTGTTAGTACATTTTGTTGCAGAAAACCTGTAGCTGATGTATATTCAGTACAGCCTTAACAGAGGCTTGAAAACTGGAGATTCTTCTGGGGCGTTTGCATGTGGCCATTTCTTGAAGGGAAAAGGCAGCCTTGGTTTCTTTTGTGGATGGGTGCAGAATGTGAATCCTACTTGTA